TCCAACACCACAGTTCAAAAATACAGCAATGCAAATCAGCCATAAGTATACACATGTCCCCTTTCTCTTGAAGCTCCCTCCCATCCACCACTCTGGGTCATCACAGAGCACCAAACTGATCTCCTTGTGTTATATAGCAGCTTCCCATTAGCTATATATTTTACACTTGGTAGTCTACATATGTCCTTTATTAAACCTATCTTTGCATAAAATGTTCCCTTGGTATCTATAATTTTCTTGAAGAGATCGCTGGTCTTTCCCATTGTATTGTTTTCCTCTATTTCTTTGTATTGTTCACTTAGGAAGACTTTCTTATCTCTCCTTGATATTCTTTAGAACTCTGCATTCAGATGAGTATATTGTTCCTTATCTCCTTTACAATTCACTTCTCTTCTTTTCTCAGCTATTTGTAAGCACTCCTCAGACAACCATTTTGCCTTTTTGCATTTCTTTTTCTTGGGGATGGTTTTGGTCACTGCCTCCTATACAATGTTACAAACTTCCGTCCATAGTTCTTCAGGCACCCTATCAGATCTAGTCCCTTGAATCTATTTGTCACTTCCATTGTATAATTGTAAGTGATTGGATTTAGGTCATACTTGAGTGGTCTAGTGGTTTTCCCTACTTTCTTCAATTTACTCATCTTACATAACTCTAAATTTGTATCCTTGCCTAACATTTCCCCATTTTCCTCATCCCCTCAACCCCCAATAACTACTGTTATACTCTTTGCTTCTATGAATTTGATTTTGTTTTAGATTCCACATGTAGGTGAAATCATATAACTGTCTTTGTCTCTGTTATTGCACTTAGCATAATGCCCTCAAGGTTCACCCATGTTGTGGCATGTGACAAGATTCCTTCATTTTTAAGACTGAATAATATTCCATTGTATGTATATACCACATTTTGTTTCTCCATTCACTGATAGACTTTTAGATTGCTCCCTCCTCTTGGCTATTCATATTAATTATGAATAGTGCTGTTATGAATATGAGTGCACAAATATCTTTTTGAGAACTTGCTTTCAATTCTTTTTGATATATACCCAGAAGTGGGATTGCTGGATCATGGAGTAATTCTATTTTTAATTTTTGAGGCAACTCCATACTGTTCCATAATGCCTGCACCACTTTACAATCCCACCAAGAGTGCACAGAATTTCCAACCTGTCAATATTCTAGGCCACAAACACCTAGAATATCTTTTGCAATAGTAGTCATTCTAATAGGTGTGAGGTGATATCTCATTTGTGGTTTTGATTTGCATTTCTCTGATGATTAATAATATTGAGCATCTTCTCATATTTTTTTCTATTTATATATCATTTTTGGCGAAATGCCTATTTAAGTCCTCTGTCCATTAAAATTTTTTTTTTCTTTTAAACTTTTTATTTTGTATTGAGGGATAGTTGATTAACAATGTGATAGTTTCAGGTGAATAGCAAAAAGACTCAGTCATGCATACACATGTATCCATTCTCCCCCAAACTCCTCTCTCATCCAGGCTACCAAATGATACTGAGCAGAGTTCCATGTGCTATACAGTAGGTCCTTGTTGGTTATCCCTTTGTTCATTTTTAAATCAGATTTGTTGTTGTTGAGTTGTAGGAGTCCTTTATATATCTTAGATGGGCTGTGTGTGTGTGTATGTGTGTGTGTGTGTGTGTGTGTGTGTGTGTATGTGTGTGTGTGAGCCAGTCTTTGTCACTCAGTCAGGCAGTGTAAAACTGTCTTAATTTTCACTTCCTGATTGGGCACAGCCTCATTGTCAGCCAGAGGTAACAGTTCTAGAGCCTTCTCAGGTTTCTTCTGAGCATGACCCCAGCCCTGATGTGTGAAAGTACCCAGTCTGTGATACTTTCTAGATTTCCATGAACATGTCGGAGGTTTTCAAAGACTTTATTCCTCAAAGCATCTCATTCCCCAGTCTTTTCTTCCTGTCTTTTAAGTTTTTTATTGTTTGCCCCCCCAAAGTCATCTTTTGCCCCACTTAACAGCTCTCACGCATTTTGAAATGTTGTTTAACAAATGTGCCCTGGGTAGTTGCCTTAATCCTGAGGGAATTCTTGAGCTAGTCCTCCAGGGAACCCCTGGACAGGTCAAAACAGAAAACCACAGTAAGGTCTGTTCTCCTCCCCTCACCCCAGTACTTTGTACTTATACTGAGAACGTGGGTGGTTGTTTTCAGAGCTGTGCCAAGCTAGGGAGTGGAGGAGTACCGGGGTAAGTTGAAGTGCACAAAGCTCTTACTGACGCTCTTATTTTTTTTTCTTGATTAAACATTCTGCTGTAAGCTTCTGATTAGATTCTAGAGTTCTAGACTGACTTCTAGAGTTCCCTATTCCACTATTGTTGCTGACATCCATTTTTTCATAGTCTCTTTTCTTTTTTGGCTTGGTGTCTTTATTTATTTATTTTTTTCCATTTATTTTTATTAGTTGGAGACTAATTGCTTTACAATATTGTAGTGGTTTTTGCCATACACTGACATGAATCAGCCATGGATTTACATGTGTTCCCCATCCTGAACCCCCTCCCACCTCCC